CTCATCCGCCTCACAGCCCTGACCTGACTCCATCCGATGACCATCTGTTCCGGTCACTGCAGCACTCCTTGTAAGAGAGAAAATTCAAAAACCGCGAAAAAGTCCAACTCAGGTGTCCAACTACTTTGAGCCGCAGTCGGCCGAGTTCTGCAGGAGAAGAATCCATCCTTTGCGGAGACGTAGGCAACAAGTCATTGATACTAATGAAGAATATCATTTAAATTGATCTTGCTTAGTTTCTTTTTTATAATAAAAAGTTTTTAAGCTCAAACGCGCATTCCTTTCCGAACAACCTAATACTAATGTAGTTTGTATGTGCTATCCGCAGATACACGTAAGCTATTCGCAAAATCGTGGGCATAAATCGAAAATTCAGCCCAGGAGGGCAAAGTTTCGATTAGTTTTTTAGGGTCATATCAGCCATGCTCTTTGGCGAAGATCAAAGAGATAGGTGGTTTTTACGTACTAATCCTCAGAGAGAGAAATGAAATAAAACTAACATGTCGAGGGTTTCTGAGGAAATCGCTCAGTGCTCCTATTCGATTGCGAAACTGAACAACGTCCGATATGGTCGGTGAATGACTTCTGCGTTGTGGTGTCAGACGTGAATGAGCTGAACTCGACCGAGCGTTTGGATGCTGGGTTGAAGAAGAGGAGGTGTATATCAATGAGGAGAGGTTAGGCGGTAATGAAAGAGGTGTCGATGCTTTGGTGGCGATAAGATCGCTACGTGTAATGACAGTCGAGGCACGGGTCACGGTTGGCTCCGATTGAGTACGACGTCTGCAAAATAACTACTGAATGATGATAAACAGATTGTAGTCATAGATTAGTTTCAAAGGATAAAGGATAAAGCCTTTGGCGTTGAACAAACCTGAGGGATGCGCCCCGTATTCGATTCCCATTCAGAATCTAGTGGGATAATTAATACGTATATGGCCTATGCAATCAGTTGCGGAGCCCAGCCAATGCACAAGTCACCGAGCTTAGTACCAGCTAACCGACCCTGAAGAAATGGAATGCTTGGTCGGTCTGAGCAAATATTGAGCCGGGATTCGAAACCGTACCCATGCCTGTGTGAGTTAGATTAGTTAACTACCGAATTAATATTCTGATTGACTGGGAGCACCTTTTCGTTCAAATTTAAGCCCCAGCACTCAAGAATCCGCCTGTAAATATTGAACTTCTACTCCTTGACTAGGCTATATGCACTGTCTTCGCAACAGTTAAGCCATCCTAAAAATTCATGCGTTTTGGTTTTTGATATTGCTCACTTTGCCGCTTTTCTTGTTAGGGTAAGCGTTTGAAGTCTCCTTCTCCGAAGGTCTCCATCCACCTACCAATTTCCGTTGTCTACAATCTTGGAAGAGGTTATGAACTTCCTTGGGAGAAACGCCAACACCCACATCGACATACAGTGACCTACATACCCGAACACACGTATACAAACAACACACCGGCATACAAATAAACATACACATCGATAAACAGCGACACACACTCACCCAGGTACAGACACAGACACACAGACACACACAGACACACAGACACACACA